GCACTCATTTGTTTGTGGTTTTTATTGTTTCAGGAATGATACATATTTACATATCCTTTGCAATTATGTAAAAAACAACAGGGGGGGGAGGGGGGGGGGCAGCACTCAGGAGGGTGAGGCAGGAGTGTCAGGAGTTCAAAGCTAGGCTGGGCTACCTAGCAAGACCAGTCTTTAAATAAATAAATAAATATTGAAGAACTACCCTGTGGTGTATTCGATATCTTTTCAAACAACTCCCACAGGTTGTTCAGCTGTAAAACTGTTTTACAGCCATGCCTAAGGAAAAACTGGAGACGTTTAATTTGGAAGACATGAGTGACTCTAGATAAAGCCCGTACTTATACAAGTTCAGGTGATTTCAGGGCAAAGTGCAAGTTTGAGACAGTTGGCAGTTGAGAGTGACAGACAGGGTGGACCTGGACCCCCGTCCTGGGCCACACAGGCAGGTGTTGCTGTCCAGTAAGGATATTTTTCTCTGCCTTTCTGGCTCCTTCCTGCTTGCACAATCCCTTACTCAACCACCAAAATCTGGAAAACAAGAATTGTTTGTTACTGACTTTGCCAGAGCTGTCAGACAGAAAGAACTGAAATAGCAAGCCATACCCTGCAATACACACACAGCTCATTTCACTTTTCGCCACGCTGGAGACTGGAGGGAGGGAGTTGAGATTTCTATGCCTAAAATAAGCAGATGAACAAATGGTGCAGGCCTGTGATGTCCCCATTTGGAAGATTAAGGCCAGAATACCTTGAGTTTGAGGCCAGCCTGGGCTACACATCAAGATCTTGATAATACAAAATTAAAACACTATTTGATTCTACCAGCAGCGTCTTATGGGGCTGGAGAGATGGCGAAATGGTTAAGAGCACCAGTTGCTCTTCCGGAGGCCCAGGGTTTGATTCCCAGCACCCACCGGCTAAGAGCACTGGCTGCTCTTCCAGAGGTCCTGAGTTCAGTGCCCAGCCCCCACATGGTGGCTCACAGCCATCCGTTATGAGATCTGGTGCCCTCTTCTGGTGTGCAGATAGACATGGAAGCAGAATGTTGTATACATAATAAATACAATCTTAAAAAAAAAATAAAAAAATAAGCCTGGCATTGGTGGCACACGCCTTTAATCCCAGTACTCGGGAGGCAGAGGCAGGCAGATCTCTGTGAGCTTGAGGCCAGCCTGGTCTCCAGAGTGAGTGCCAGGATAGGCTCCAAAGCTACACAGAGAAACCCTGTCTTAAAAAACAAAAAAACAACAAAAAAAAGAAAGATTAAAAAAATAAAAAATAAAAACAATAAAGGTTAAACATATTTAAAAATAGCCCTCTTACCCTTCTAGGATATCCACTAGGTGGAGGCCCAGTTGCCTCCCTCCCAACATCCCAATCCATTCTCAGGGGAGTCATTCCCAGAAGAATCAAGACTTTATTAAAGTAGAGACTCCTTCCAGTGAGCTCCACAGCCCACATCAACGCTACTGCACGGCAACCATACAATCACTAAAACATCCACGAGTGAACTGTATTTCCAGAAGTAACCTATGGCCCACTTATTCTAACCCATGAGACTGTCACACCATAGGAACAGTCCTTATCCAGACAGTACGGCTGTGGGGTGGGGACGGGGGCTGGCATTTGTGTTTGACCTTGAACCTGTACATTGCTGTGATTGCCGTCTTTATGACAACTTATGGCACCGTGAAATGCAAACAGTACCAAAGAAAAACAAGCCACCTCTGAAGTTGTTTGGGTCCCTCTATTCTCTCATCAGCAAATGGAAACCTGGGAGTTTTCCAAAGCCTTAGGGGCCGCATGAACCACACGGTTCACCACCTTCTCTCTGTCTCTGGCGCTCGCTCGGCAGACAGCGCTGCTGCCCATGCCGGCCCCCAGCTCCCGTGGCCGGGATGCACCTGGACGCCTCTGTTCTTTGTGGCCACTTCCAATGAGCCTTTGTGTCAGGAGACATTGCACCTGAGCCACAGAAGGAAGTGTTAGCTGGAGCCCAGCTGCATCAGGTGGTGTCTTGGCAACCGTCCAAACAGCCCCAGGAAACAAGGGACATTTACAGTGTTACAGCTCATCACATTGACTCTCTCTCTCCTCTGAGTCACCTGGAAACTCTGCTTCTGCCAGGGGACTCCTCCTGGCCACAATGCCACAGCAGAGAGCCAGCAGGTCTCTGGGTTGTTGGTTTTCACTCCTGCAAGCTGGGGCCCTCGTGAAGGCCATGGTCAGCCTGCAGTCAGCCTGGCCGTTAGACTCATCTAAACAGTGGGGGACCACAGGGCTGGGGACAGGACTCAGCAGTTAGGAGCACTGACCACCCTTCCAGAGGACCAGGGTTCCATTCCTAGCACTCACGTGGCACCTGACAGCTGTTTTGTAACTCCAGTTCCTGGGGAACTCAACACCCTCACCCAGACACCAATGCACATAAAATAAAAATAAGTTAGAAAAAAAAAAAAAAAAAAAAGGGGCGGGTGGAGGGCTGGCTGTTAAGGGGTTTGTACCTTTCGTCTGTGTTTCGTTTGTTTTTCAGTGCTGGGGACCAGACCCAGGGCCTTGCCCTTGCTAAGCAATTACTCTAGCCCTGAGGAGTAAGGAATAGGATCAGCAAATATAGACTCCCTATTTGTCCCTCCCTCCTCCCCACTCGGGAAAAGACAATGGTTCCCGAGGCTGGGGACAATATCATTAGCCCCTAAGACTGGAGCTGGGGATCCACTGTGATCCATAAAGTCAAGCTGAGGCAGGAGGATCAAAGTTCAAAGGCCGCCTGAGATACAGAGTGGAAAGCCAGCCTGGGAAACTTAGGGAGATCCTGCCTTAAAATAATGAGTAAACAGGAGACAGAGAGACAGAGTGTGGGTGAACAACACCAGACGCCCCGGGTCAGGTCCCCAGCAATCCATCATGAAATAGAGTCCCCCCAGGCCACAGGTGACACGGGAGCCTCTCCTATGATCCCCTGGTGCAGAGGAAGAAGAGAAGAGTCTGGGTTTAAAAAGGAAAGAGTCCAGCCTGGTGGCCCATGCCTTTAGTCCCAATGCTCAGGAGACAGAGGCAGGCAAAGCTCGAAGCCTGCCTGGTCTACATAGTGAACTCCAGAACAGCCAGGGCTATAAAAATGAGATCCTGTCTCAATTTTTTTTTTTTTCTCATAAAGTTAGAAGACAAAGAAGGACTTCTCCTTCCTTCCCAACGGAGCCTCCAGGAAGCTCAGAGAGTAAACAGCGGTCATAAACCAGGACACAGCGGACCTTGGGGCCCTGTCCAGCCAGCAGGTTTAGAGAACAAACAATCAAAGGCTTCTACAGCTCTAAGTAAAAACAATGAAGCTAAATTCACTTGGAGACACTGTTCCCTGGGGAAGAGGAGGTGGAGAGAGATAGCAAGTGACAAAGCCTCACTGTCTGTCAACCTCCCGAGCACAGGGCTGACACCTCCCACTCTGAGCCTCCCTAAAGTGGAAGGAAAGGGTTTTTGTATTTTTTCCTCCCAGCTGAAACAGGTTTTCTGGGGGATTTTAGGATTACAGCCCCTGGGGAGGAGGCCCCAGAAGGGGGTTTGCTATCAGCACGCAGCTCTGCAGTTAACAGGTCTAAACACACTCTTTTTGAAGCCTTTTTGAATGAGAATAAAAACCTAGGGGAAGGGGGGCAGCAAGTGGACCGACCCTTCTCTTAAGAAGGAAGAACTTTAAATATATAGACAGAAATAACCCAGACAAGGAAGAGTAATCTTATAAAATTACGGTTTAAGGTAAGCATCATAAAAGTAAAAAGGAAAAAAAAACAAAAAACAAAAAAACGCCCAGTGAGAAGCCAGAGAAAGACAGGACTCAGTGACAGTCTAGAAATTTCTCTTGCCTATTCTTTTCAGAAATGCCTCCAAGTTATCTGAGAGACCCATAGGACAGAGTTTGTCCTGAGATGTCCTGGCCCAGGGATAACCTGTGTCCTCAAGCTATGTACCATCAAGTCTCCCAAATTCCTCCCAAAAAATCCCTGCTATTTTGCACACTTTGGATCTACAACCAACCAACTTGTGTAGGGACTTGTGGGCAATTAGGTTTCCTTTTGTGTGTGAGTCACACACAACACCGCTGACTACGGCCAATGAGCCACTCCATGGCTCACTGGGAACACCAGAAAGCCTCATTCCTTTTCAAGCATGGCCTGAACTTTGCAGACAAAGCCTCAGCTCCCAGCCGGCTTGGCACCCCAGGAAATGAGGCCTGACTGAAACAGCAGGGCCTGGGAGTTGGAGCTGTCCCAGGGAGGCAGAGCCCGGGCCCAACTCTCTCAAGGTTTATTCCCCAGGGGACAGGAGAGTGGGGGAATCGGTCCAGTCTGTTCCCAACTGTGGGTCAAGCCACAGGTACAGCCTTCCATAGTGAAGAGAGCAGACTAGCGTTTGAAAGCTGAGAGGAAGGGATGACAAAGAACTGATAAAAATTAAGTTTGTCTTGGGGAGATAAGGACCCAATCCTTCCTGTACGTACGTGGGTGGAGGAGGCTGACCTGAGGGCATTTCCAGTTTTGGGGTGTCCATTAGCCCACCCTCACAACATTTCCAGACCTCACCTCCCTCCGGTCAGCCAGAAGTGTTTTCTCCATTTACCCATTCTCCACCCTGGACATCCTCACTTCCACCTTTTGGTTACTTTGTATTTTGAGACAGGGTTTTTACTGTTAGTCCGAGGCGGCCTGGAACTCATTGTGTATAGAGACCAGCCTGCCTGCTTCCTGAAGACTGGGATCTCAGGTGTATGCTATCACAGTTCCAGGCGTTTTTTTTGTTTGTTTGGTTGGTTTTTGTCTGGTGAGCCAGTGATCAAGGTTTATCTTAGAAAGCAAAACGCAGTCCACCCTCCAGAAGGAGGGGCCTGCAAAGCCTAGGGGCAGCAAATTTGCTCTGTGTTCCTATGTTATTTCACTACTTTTTTCTCTTAAAGTGTTTTAGGAGGCTGCCATAGAATACCAACCAAACAGGAGCAAGCCCTGGAGGCTGCAAATACAAAAACAAAAATCTGAGGAAGACTCTAACAGGTTGAGGAAGTCCATACCTGTAACCAAGCACTTGGGAGGTAAGAACAGGAGGATAGTGAATTCAAACTCTCTCTCTCAGAAAATAAAAATAGAAAATAAAACAACAACAAAAAACTAACCAGGAAAAAGAAAAACAAAAATAAGTCTGCAGACTTGCCTGCCCTTTCTAAAACAAGCATTTGAGAATAGGGATTGTAGCTCAGAGGTAAAGTATTTGTGAGAGATACACAAGCCCCCCTCCCCTTTTCCATCCCCAGCACCATAAAAATCTTTTTAAAAATATACATTGAGAGCTGGGCAGTGATGATGCGCACCTTTGATCCCAGCACTCGGAGGCAGAGGCAGGAGGATCGCTGTGAATTCAAGGCCAGCCTGGTCTACAGAGCGAGTGCCAGGACAGCTGTGTAGAGAGACCTTGTCTGGAAAAACCACACATACAAGGTCAACCTGGACAATATGAGACCACACACACACACACACACACACACACACACACACACACACACACGTGAGTACACTGCCTTCTGCCTGCTTTCCTTAGCCTCCCTCCAGCAACCCAGCCACACTGGCTTTGGTTCCCACCCTCCGATGACTTAGTTTCTGCTATTCCCTTGAAGGGATAATCTAGACTTGCCCATCACTCTTTAGGCTTCTCCACCTTGGCTGTCTGCTAAAAAGACTTAACCTTTCTCAGCCTCCTCCACACCGCCACCCTGGCAGCTGTCTTGTCTTCTGTCTCCCTCCCTATTCCTTCCCATTAGCCAGATAGCTCTGTCCCAGGCTTCTTTTCTCCCAAATGTCTATTACTTGGGTGACTCCCAAAATGGTATCTCCAGACCGAAGCTGGCAGACTGCCAGGTCCCATTCATCATCCCAACCTCCCCAGCCAGCACCCCTGCTAGCCCAGCTTCCAGTCTGGAGGCATGTCCGAGTTAGGGACATAAGCTGGTGGGAAGGATAGATGGATTGATAGATAGATAGATAGATAGATAGATAGATAGATAGATAGATGGACCGACAGACAGACAGACAAGCAAGACTATATTGCTAGTGCTTTCTCCATCCATTTATTTTCACAATGCTGGGAATGGAACCCAGGACCACCTGCTTATTTGGCAAGTGTCCCAGCATTGAGCCACATCCCCAACTGGACATAATTTCACACTGGCTAAAGCCATCAGTAGTCTGTATCAGAGCAGAGAAACTGCACCTAAGAAACACACAGGGATCTAGAGAGACAGGGTTCCGTGGTTAGGAGTGCTTGCTGCTCTTGCAGAGGGCCTGAGTTTGGTTCCTAGCATCCATGTTAAGTGGATATTCGCAATGACCTGTAATTCCAGTCCTAAGGGTATTCAGTGGCCTCCTCCAAGGCACAGGCTCACACACACACACACTTAAATCTTAAGAAAAAAAAAAAAAAAAACCAACAAAACCTAGGTTCCGAACCTTTCTCTTCCCCACCCATGTCCTCCCCTAAGACTGCCTGGAAGGGTACCACAAGGAGAACCTGTCCTGCAGGGTCTGCCTGCCCACTGCCTTCCCCTGCCATCCTCCCCGCCAGAAGCTGCCACAGGTCCGCCAAACCATCTGTTCAGAAGACAAACAATCTAGCAAGAACTGAGGTCCAGAGAGAGGTAACAACTTTTTCGGAGGCTGTAAAGCAATTTTGTGGGGGTGGCAGTCAGTCAGGCCCTGGGGCCTTAGGTTGGACATCTTGGGATTCCCAGGCCAAGCAACCTCCTGCAATTCTGGCCTGTGATCCTCTGGCCCAAAGGCCACACATAATTAGAAGTTATAATCCTGTAATTCCGTGATGACATCTTTCAACTTAAATATACTTTAAAACCCTTTCGAGATGCCAAAAGCAACTTTAAAAAACTGCCCACTGTCCCCACCTGTCTCCATATTCCCCTCCTTCATTCGTGA